GACTAGGACATTAAGCTAGGCGACACGTGCTGACTAGAATAACTCACACAGTTGTAACTTTCACTTGGGAGTCTGCCCACAAGTCAGGAAATTGCCACTTTCCTCAGTAAACACTGTTACAAACCAACCGACTTTCATTTACATACAATCGTGATTTATAAATAACTGTGAATGCCAAGCGATGGGGACTAGGAATCATTTCTGAATAGATAATATTTAATTTTTAAAATGATAAACAATACCGAGGACGTTCTTGTCTTCAATTGATGATTGCTGTTAATGTTTTTGACAATAAATTATCTTACTTAACTCTTCTACAGAGTTCTACATCACTGCCATGGGACAAATAGTTACTGTGATTGTATTCTATCACAACGCAAGTATCGTTTGTCAGGTTATATTTAATGTGAACTAAGTCACCAATCGATATTCTTATTCACTTGAATAAATTTGATCCATATGTCTTCAACTAAGTACTATACTTTGGTCCTCTCTCTCTCTCTAGTTGTCACACAAACATCCTCAACCTCTAAGTTTACCAACATCTACAATGCTTTCACTCTCAACACCTGATCGATTCATTGCGTATGCGCAGAATTGTCAGTCAGGCTGCGTGTGCGCTCATTTGTCAGTTTCTGCGCAAACTGGCGAAGGTGTTGTACTGTCGCTACCGGATGTGAGATGAGACGTGAACCAGGTGACGTTCTCACGGGGCTGTGCTCTCCATAGTGATGTGGAGTTTCTCTCTCTATGGTCGTTCTCCACCATCAAGAGTCTGTAATCTACCAGTGCGTTTACTTTACTGGTTAACTGTAACAACTTTTAATGGATCTTTCCCTTCCTTGTATTAGTTTACAGTGTTTATGTACCTTCTAATTTCAAGAATGAATACCGGAAAACATCGTAAACCTGGGCTTATAATTTCTTCTTTCTTATTATTTGTTTGAAATCGCCAACTCGCAACGAGCAAGTGTGGTGATTAATGCTCAAACCTTCTCTGCGTGAGAAGAGGTTTTGCTCAGCAGTGGGCATTTATAGGCTGTCGATGTAATCAGACTTCTAAAATTATTTCTTATAACTTTCTAGGATTGTTGAACCATCCACATAATAAGTTTAACTTAGTTTTTATATCGGTGACTTAATACACTAAATAAAGTTTGACATTTATGACTTGTTGTTCAATACTTTTTCATGCTATCTATATTCGGCAAAAAGTTTAATCCCTGTGTTGTTTAGTTATTTATTGTATTTGGTCGATTAGTTATACAAGTGTAACCTGTTCGTGTATTAATATTCATTTGTCGTAACTTAATGTCGTTCGCCTTCCATTATGTCACCGTGTTACACGTATTTGTGTTCAAATAGCTTCATTTTTAAATTTCTATTGCTGACGTTCAAAAGTGCCTTCCTGGTCTAATTGAAATAAATGATTTTTGACTTTGACTTTTGACAAAGACTATGTCAGAATAAGAGGACACAAATCCCTATCAAAAACCAATTATCTGAAATCTTTCTTCCAAAAAAGTCGTATGAAACTTGAAATCAATCTGTAATTTACTATGTTATGCTTATAAATAATAAAATAAACATTTAATTGAATGATAAAATATTTTTACTTCATTCTTAAAATATTTTCTTCAGTTATGAAACCTGCGTTATAAAAATAATATGTACTATACAGAACACAAAAAGGTGTTAAAATATTTGTGTAGCGCGTGTGTGGGTGGGTGAGTGATCACAATAACAGTGTTTATAAAACATACTGCCTGACATTCGAAATATTCGTCGTCCTCACTGAGTCGCTCATCGTGAAGGCATTTCACTTATTCCCGATCTGTTTGCGCATGAGTCATAGTCACAGCCAAGTTGCGCGGGCGTCGCCAACCAAATTGACGCCCTACCTTACCTAGGCCCTCTGTCCTGTGACGTTATAGTTAGGTTTTATGGGAAATACCACAATTTAAAATTACCTAGGCGTTCTAACTCCTGACGAATAGGTTAAGAAATGGTCAATGAATAGTGATTAACACATCTAATATAAATGGAATAGGTCCGTCACGGCGCGCCGGTGACATCATCCTGAGAAGGTATTTTATTTTTCTTCATTATGCACAAGCATATGACAGAATACATCCGATTCATCTAGAATTTAACCTACAGGTGATATTGCTATACAAGTTACGGAGGTACAGGACATAATAAGACACCTAAATACCAATTTGTATGCGTCTTTGAGGAAAATTGACTCCTACAAGTTGTTGTTTACCTTATTGCATGTCCAGTAAACTTGATGTCTGATTGCAATAAAGTATCTCATAGTAGATTCAAAACGAATTCGCGTTGAACATTTATATTGCGAACCCTTTCCCTTTACAATTTTGTGATGTATGCGCACGTTCATGAGTCACTAGCAGGTTCACAGGACCGGCCGCGGCCTGCGCCGGAGTGCGCCCTACCTGAGTCCTGTGACCTTTCGGGACGTACCTTACTGGCCAAAGAACTACACCGCCACCGCGCTATTGTCATACACCTGTCTCGGCTTACTATATATTTATAACATCATATTATTTTGCAAAAAAAGAATGGCTTAAAGATATTATGTAGCGATTGTGCTCCCATATTAGAAGTTACGAATTTTATTATTGTCGCAGTATTTCTCATATAGAAATTGAACTGTGATATTTCTGTCCCCATTTAAGAGATTTACAAAATATTCCATATACACTGTTTAAGAACTTTTTCTGGTAACCTTGGTCTCTTCTCTGTGATGCGGAGACCATCAGTCTATAGAATATATCGGCAGTCAGGTTGTAGCACATTGAGCACATCGCATACTTAGTAAAATGGAGCAAACGCAACATCTATCATTCCCCATTAACTTAAACCCATTACATGTCAATTTTAGTGTTACAACACTAGTCCAGGCCGACGGCTGCATTCGTTTATCACGAGCCATTAGTTTGGGGCTACTTATTGGACCAATCGGCGGTGACAGCTCGACGGCCATTAGGTGACATCATGGCTTATTGAGACACTTCTGTTTTGACTACGAGGTGGAAACAATCTGGAATGTTCCACTAAACGGAGCTCACATCTATGATCTGCAGCCGTGGTACAGGTACCTCGGGCCTGGCATTCCTGGAGCCTGCAGCCGCGGCCGGTTTATTTAGTCATGCATTTCTCGCAGCTGCGAATAACTCTTTATAATTTCACGGAATTATTAAGGCGCGGATCGCAGATTCTCTCGTCTCATTGTTTTATATACAGAGTACTTATACGTAGTAGTCTCGGTGTTTGTGTTTTGTGCATTACTAGAATCCCATATACGTAACATTGCAAGAGGTATCAGATAACTTGTAATTAAAAGGATTAACAACATAATTAACATCAAGAACTGGCGACTGACCTCAGTAAGTGGGACACGTTACTAAAAATGAAATAAAATACTCCAATACGAACTTATTCTTGTTTTTGTCTCCTTATAAGATGGTGTAAGAGGGACAAGGGCGCCGGGGTGGCGAGTGTGTGTTGCCCTTATATGGCAGCTCTTTGGGCCAGTGGCCATATGGCGCAAGGATCGAGGCTGAGCTGACAGACGGCTCACGACAAATGTTCTCGCCCCGACAAATGTTCTATGTGTCGTGTCAATGTTACATGACTTTTGAGCGCAAGTCATTTGTATTCTCGTTTAAGTATTTGCTTAACAGCCAATACCAAGTGGAATCTCCTTTAATTCTTTCGAGGAATAGATGTTCTTATGCTATGTTTTACATCTTTATGCATCCATGACATTACATTCTTTAATTCCTCGAAGTGCTCCATAAATCCGGCAATGAGTGAGTGACGTGCCGCCGCAGCCACTAATTGTGTCCTCAAGGTCCGCCAATTGCACCGCGCATGCGTTACCGTGACCATAGTGACTGCGCCGAGATTCATACCACTTTATTTAGCGATCACTTCAGTAGTAATTGATATATCGTCACACATATACAAATATACATTTATGTGTACATAAAGATATATCTTTATGTGTATGTACTACGTGTTGGAATGATGTGCATGGAGTGTTCATACGTGTGGTTTGGGTCATTGTGTGGTTACGTTGAGTATCTTAAAACATTTCTTTTACAGAAAAGCTATTTTTTCGGTTGCAAGCACGCAGCAGTCGACCAAATCGAGCAAACTCACTACATTAGTCAACAGATCATAGTCTGTGCACCCAATAGATCATGCATTTATAGACTGTAGATGCCATGACAGCCGTAGATTAATTCATTATTTTTCAGGTTTGGTCGAGGACTGCTCATTTAAAACATTTCACTTTGGTTTCTTGAATAAGCTACTTAGGTTACAACCATGTTGTCAGACATAGTGCACCTAGTATATGGATTAACAAAGTTATTGTAACTCCTTGAATAGAATGTCATCGTTCCGATCACGAAGTGCTTCCAGTTTAGGAGCAAATATCAATAGGTCGAGAGATACAGGATCGATAGGACCAACCTTGCGCAGGCGCCGAGAGAATGGTTTACCTTATGTCAGTCAGTTATTGTCTATTTTGAAATACCTTTGTTCATATTCATTAAGTAGATGGAACTGAACATATTCTAGCGATGTTTACCATTGTGATCCTATTAGATTAGTTGGTTTGCGTATTAAAACAATACACGATCTGCGATTGGATACTTTTCAATGACAGTCAGTAATTGTTAGGAATTTGATTGTTTAGCGTGATCGTTGCTCGTTTGCTATTGGTTACCGTCACAATCATTAGATTATTTTCAATGTTAATAATCATAATTCGTAAAAGCACAAAAATGTAAAAATACAACTGTTAATTCTTTGGTTAATTCCCATACTATTACCAAAAGTCGATTCAAATTGAACTTATTAAGATATTATCTACATTTAAACAGTTGTTCATCTGTACTGTAATAATACACAATCTCATTGATGAATTGCCGTCATTAATTTAAAGTGAATGTTTTCGTTATTTCCAGAATGTCAGAAGGCGACGTGTCGTTGATCCGCGACGAAGATTTACTGCGCCGCATGGTTAGACATCCTTTACTATATTTACAGTAACCCATAAATAACTATACATACCAAGTACTAATAACATAACAATAGATACGCCACGACCCTTTCCGTGCGCCTGACGGAAACTCGTAGCAATGTTTTTCAACAAACATTGCTATATATAAAGAGAAAGGCGTTATTATACCTGTCGTTTTGTTATTGTGAATTATTATAAGCAAGAACATTTATGAATGCATACTATATTATTATTTCAGATTACTAGTGATGATATCTAAAATATTTTTATATTGGAAATCATTGTTTTGTAATAATTTTCTAACATAGTTCATCTAATGATTCCAGTGGCAGCAGACTGAAGACTTCTCTCGCAAGAAAGAGATCCGAGCGCACATGTACCGACTGCGGGAGGAACGGCTGCGGGACCTGTACTCGCCCGAACCCACCAGAGATGGGAAAGGTAACGTCAACTCTCGTTCAATTCAATACTGAATACTTTTGCAGGTACCAACAGTGCCTTGTGTTGAGTGGGGCTGCACCACTAGACAAAGTACTATTTAAGAGAGACGAAACAGCTTCAATGCAAGTTGGTGACATTTTTCATCACGATTTAGTTTTGTAACGTACCTACTGTTAAAGCTATACCACAGTTGTTATGTATATTATATTTGACGTCACGTGTTCAGTGACTCGTTTTATATTGTATCTCAAGTATTACATAATAGGTAAATTTGAACACCATAATATTTCTTGTTTTCACTGCGCTACATATATATGTAGTACTTTTCTTCTAAAAGACCACAAGTTAGCGCAAATGTGCCCGAATTCAACAGGTAGTGAGTTCAGTGCTGCGCAGGGCCACGTCAAGTCATTCGCGGACCAGACCTTCCAGTCAATGAAGAGCAAGGAGGTCCGTGACGCTGGCTCCCCACCCAAGGAATTCACGTACCGCGGCCAAGGTGTCTGCACTATAAAACCATAACTTAACCTTAACAGAACTAACGCTTATTAACCGGTAACGGTGTGCGCAGTTTGTGCTCAGATATTAAATTGATTTTTTTTACAGATCTGAAGGCGCTGTCGAACGCCGGCTGGAATGTGGAGTCGGAGAACAAGACAACAGACGACGGGCACACGCATGTCAAGTCCGTGCACGCTAACATCGAGGGCCGGTACGACGTGGACGGTGGCAAAGGCCAGTTTGCGGCCGTTGACCACCATAAGGAAGCTGTGACGGAGTACCACGACGACCACAGCAGCCTGAAGCGGAACCAGACCTCGTCCAACACGGCGGCGCGCGAGTATGTCGTGCGCAACACTGACGACGGGACTCAGATTTCGTCCACCACCAGCTCTTCCACGTCTTCCTCCAAGTTCCAGCAGATGTCTTCAACAAGACATGACACTGTGCCATATTTGACTAACGACGACTATGACCTACGAAGTTACGATACTAACCGTAATGAGGACGTGTCCTCTGTAACAAGAAGACAAATTGTAAGAACTAATGACTACGATCAAAGCACGAAGAATGATTACGAACAAAATGTGAGAAATAACGAGTACCAGCAGCATGTTAACAGAAATGATTGCGAACAAACTATCACGAAGAACAATTATGAGCATAGCGTGAAGAAGAATAACTACGAACAAAATGTGAATAGAAATGATTACGAGACCGGAGAGCTTGTATCTAGAAAGATCGACTACCCTGATGACAACACCAGAGTGATTGTAGAGACGCGGTGCCTGCCTGATGGAACTCGTGTGACTAGCACCAAGAGAGAATTTCGGGCACCGGTACAAAGCACGCGTTCTGAGCAATCTTACCAAGTAAGGGAAAATAAGTCCTATTCCACTCAACACCGATCTGATGTCAAAGAATCCTCGAAAACAACTCAACGCGTAACAGATAACCGCGTTACTGACATCGTGGATTCGCAAAGGAATGTCGATGATTATGATTTCAAAAAACAAATTGCAGATTACACAAAAGACGATGAAACCTATTCGGATGTAAAACGTTACGAAACTAAAATAAACAAAAAACTTGTGGATCATTCTAACGCTGACGACAACTACTCACAAACAACTCGTCACGTGACTAAAGTTACTCAAGAAGTTACTGATAATAATGATTACGTCCAACGCCAACAACGTACGAATCAAACCCACCACCGCCAATACGTTACCAACGACCAACGTGAAACAGTAACGCGTGATACTAAAACTGATATGTCAACACCGCGTAGGGACCGTCCAGACACCCTGTCGCCACAAAAAGAACATCCTGAGTCACTTACACCACGTCGTGATCACCCTGAAACAACGAAACCACGTGATGATAATCAAGATACTATAAAGCGTAATGATAATCGTCCACTTCAACCAACAGATTACATACATCAAACTAGAAACACTGAAGAGAAGATCCATCACATTAAGAAAGAGAACAAAGTAGAAGAAACCGTAGAAAGGAAAACTAGCACTGATCGTTACCAAACCACATATCAAACTGATTTTCCTCAAAAGAAAATCAGTAATGATTGGAGTCCTTCCCACCAGGCGTGGGCCAGCACACTGCGCGCTGATACTCCTACTACTACACGACCATCGACCCGGGCATCATCTCCGGGAAGTAAAACTTTTAAGTCAAGTACGTCGTCTTTAAGGAGCAGTGTAAGCCCTGATAAAATACCCAGAAAGCCATCAAGCCGCGGTGGAAGTCCCAGCAAAATTGATAGGTCGTCACCTACTCGCACAGTGGTTGACAAAGATTCAACAACACATTCCACATATTCTGTAACTGAAATTAAAACGCACAAAAACACGATCTCTGAAGACAAAAGACCTCCAACTGGACGTTCTCCAACCAGGCCTGGTTATAGCCCCGAGCGAAAACCTCAAGACCATCGTCAGAGACCAAGCGTAAGCCCGGATAAACGGCCTCAAAATTTGTCTTTTAAACCCAGTGTTAGCCCAGATAGGAAACCAACATATAGAGCATCTCCCACTGATAACTATCCTAGAACCACGTCACCATCTCGTCCACTGGATCGTAATGAATCTCCAACGCGACCACGAGCGAGCCCTGAGAGGAAACCATCTCAGAAATCAACTCCAACTGATAAATATCCTGGTGCCGGTTCACCAACCCGTCCTCTGGATCGTGATGAATCTCCAACGCGACCACGAGCGAGCCCTGAGAGGAAACCATCTCAGAAATCAACTCCAACTGATAAATATCCTGGTGCCGGTTCACCAACCCGTCCTCTGGATCGTGGTGAATCTCCAACGCGACCACGAGCGAGCCCTGAGAGGAAACCATCTCAGAAATCAACTCCAACTGATAAATATCCTGGTGCCAGTTCACCAACCCGTCCTCTGGATCGTGATGAATCTCCAACGCGACCACGAGCGAGCCCTGAGAGGAAACCATCTCAGAAATCAACTCCAACTGATAAATATCCTGGTGCCGGTTCACCAACCCGTCCTCTGGATCGTGGTGAATCTCCAACGCGACCACGAGCGAGCCCTGAGAGGAAACCATCTCAGAAATCAACTCCAACTGATAAATATCCTGGTGCCGGTTCACCAACCCGTCCTCTGGATCGTAATGAATCTCCAACGCGACCACGAGCGAGCCCTGAGAGGAAACCATCTCAGAAATCAACTCCAACTGATAAATATCCTGGTGCCGGTTCACCAACCCGTCCTCTGGATCGTGATGAATCTCCAACGCGACCACGAGCGAGCCCTGAGAGGAAACCATCTCAGAAAGCAACTCCAACTGATAAATATCCTAGTGCCAGTTCACCAACCCGTCCTCTGGATCGTGGTGAATCTCCAACGCGAGCACGAGTGAGCCCTGAGAGGACACCGTCTCGTCCTCTGGGCGGCGGTCAGCCGGGCTCTACCTCCGATTTGCCCAGAAATACTTCACCTTCTCGGCCTCATCCTTCGGAAAGTAATGTAAGGCCTGATAAGGTGAAAGAAAGTCCCGATCGCAAACCTCAGTCAACCAGTCCTGCTATTGATGATATTTCACCTAAAAGAGGAAGTGTAAGTCCTGATAGGAAACCGGGTTACATGAGACCAACTTCTGCCAGTAGACCATCAGACAACTTGAAAGGTAGAACATCACCAACAAAACAAGTACCTTCACAAAGTCCAGAACGTAAGCCCCAAAATAATTCGAAGACGATAACAAAAGTTCAAGAAGATCATTATAAGTTTATTGACGAGGAAACGAAAATGTATACTCGTACTGAAAAAACTGAAATCCATGATTCAAAGCACTTGCCGTCACGTCCTGAACAACTGACACCTAAAGAGACACTCTCAAAAAAGAGTCCTACTAAAGACACTCCTGAATTCAATATCGACTCACCGTTCAGGAATAGATCTCCTTCACCTAAGGACCATGTCACGTCTACCAACCAATATAACCGAGTCGATACAACAACAACAACAAAGGAAGAAACAACTACAAAGTATCTGGCTTCGAAAGATAAAGATACTTCTACTGATAAAAAATCGCCTAGAGATCCATCTCCTCCAAAATATGGAACTTATGATAAGAAAAAACCATATGGTGATGACGACACCGAGGTTATTCGGAGTACAGTCGTTACAACTGAAGATAACAAATACGATTCATTGACACGTCGTGAGAAGTCTCCAAAGAAAACGCAGAGTCAGCCAAGTTCCCCAACAAAGAAGATACCTCGCAATAGTGTATCTCCGGTAAAATCTCCGACAAAAGATTCAAAATATAAACATACTACTGACTTTATATCTACAGAACAAAAGACCGAAGAGATAAATAAAACTGTCACTAAAGAACATCCGAGGCGATTGATTACTCCATCTTCGAGCCCTACTAGGAAACCTAAACAAACTGACACGGAGCCATCAACTGGTCAAAGCTCTCCAACTACTTCAGTGAGTGGATTTGTATACTTCAGTTCTCCACGAAACGAAAAAACTGTTGTTACAGACTTAGATGATCAAGAAATTTATTCGGAAACGAACGTAGTAGATAAAATCAGTACTATTTACAAGAGACCTGAAAGTCTCAGTGTGAATAGACCTCAATCTCCAACTAAGATACCTTGTAGGTCACCTTCTCCGGAAAAGCGCGTGTCTCCGCCAAAGGAGTCTCTGCCAAGAAAAAGCTCCTTAAAGAAACCTACAACTGAAATAACACAAGCGTCTCCAATCGAAAAGCCACCATCTAGTTTTAGTGTGTCACCAACGGAAGATTCGAAAGAATTCCCTGATCATAAAATAGTGAAAAAAGACCATCCAGAAACCCCTGAGTCTGACGCGCCCACTAGCAAACAAAAACCACCACTAGAACGCAGAGAAACATATGAAGATCGCTGTCGCAAGATCCTTGGTATGATGGATGATACCACTACAACTGTCACTACCAAGAAAACTTCTTACTTGAAGGAACCGGAAACAAACCTGAGTTCCCCTAGCTTTTCTCCTTGTCGTAGCCCTGCCCTAAAGGAAACTCCCTTCGAATACCCATCAGTAAAGAAAACGACTAAAACCAAAACCGATGTGACTGATTTCATAACTCAGGAACAACAAAATATTGTTCAGATGACTACTACCCATGTTGACAAGTTAGTTGACAAAAAAACTAAAACGCCTAGAGACACCTCCCCAACCAAGCTTCAAGATATTATAACTACAGAGAAAAATGTTCTGAAGAGTGATGTTACAATTAAAGATACGAAAGAAGTAAAAACACTTGGTACCAAAAAAGTTCTTTCTCCTAGACAAAGTCCTGAACGAAAATCGCCGATATCGTTTGATGATAATTCAGTAGTTCATGAGACTACTACAACTAGATTGAGTCCCGATAGAAAACCGAGATTCGAACCAACTACTAAGAAACCTGAAGATAGACACCCGACTGACTCGATTTCTGTAACTCAGGACTTCATCGAAACCACATCAACTGTTAGTACTAAATATGACATTTCGTCTAAAGAAAAGATACCAACTCGCTCCTCAGAGTCACCGACGAGAAAAATTGTGTCAGATAAACCATCGAAACCCGGGCAACCATCTGATAAGAGCCCAGAACGCAAACCAAGCGTCCATAAAAATATTCCAAACAAAACGAATCCAGATTATAAGGAATTCACAAAAGAAAAATCACCTTCCAGACCTAATTATACAAAAACTACCAACTCTATGGTAGTAGAATACGACTCCACGTCTACCGTTGAGGATTTAGAAGAGTTTTCAGATTTACCTACACGTCAAACACCTAAGATTATAAATGACACTCCAACAAAACATCCTTCATCCGTCCATCCTTCTGATAAAAGTCCAGACCGCAAAGTTAGTCACGATAAACCTTCTATCAGAGCAAGCCCTGAGAAAAAATTAAAAGAATCATCTCCGTCTAGAACTAGCCATAGGACAACTGTAACTTCTGTGACTGAGTACGACAGAACTTCAGCTGTGGATTTGCATGAAAATGCGACTGACACAGTTAAAACAAAAAAAAGTCCACGTGAAACTGAATCACCTACACGAAAGAGTCCGAAATCTGCAAACGATACTCCGTTACATCCTACGTATACAAATCGCAGTCCAGATAGGAAGTCAGACAGCCGAGAAAAGCCGTCAAGTCTTAGATACAGCCCAGAGAAAAGCTATGCTGATAAATATCCAAGTGATGACTCCCCGACAGAGCTTGAAAAAGTGCCCAGTTATATGAAAACTACCAAATCTGTTACATCAAAATCTGATGTTGTATCAACGGATATAGAAAAAACTACATCACTCAAAACAACAGAAAAACATATTTCACATCGTTCACCAGGGTCACCTACTGGGAAGACTACTGAGCCAAAACATTATACACGTACTAGTTCGCCACCTAGATCTACCGAACCTGCTGATAGGAGTCCCCAGCGTAAACCATCAAAAGATGAAATCACGCCCAAAAAAACAATTCCTGAAAAGCAAGACTTTTATAAAAAAGAACCATCACCAACCAGAACAAAACCTAGTTCAGAAAAAAGACCTGGGTATGTAAAGACAACTTCATCTCACGTTCATAAACCGAACACCTTGGCTATGACTAAAGATATCACGGAAAGTCACACGACAGAGACTGTTGAACGAACGCGTCATCCCCGACCGCTTTCACCATCTAAGCAACCCACAGATAACAAATCATACAAGAAAAATGAAAGTCCTGATCGCAAGCAGCGACACCCAGAACCGGCTGATAGAAAACCTCGGGAAAATTCTCCTTCTAAGCCAAGCCCGGATACTCCTGGCTACATGAGAAAAACCTCTGCCAGCATTCGGAGAGTGTCGGAAGATCATGTGGAAACGTCTTCTATTACAATTGATAGTGCAACAATTAAACCTCACAAACAATATCCAAACAGCATTCCCAGACATGACGATATTTCAACTCGAGCTAGTCCTGATAGACATACAAGAGAAAGGATTCCTAAGGAAACTTCTCCAGTAAGAAAACCAGTAATACTTACGGATGAAAAAGATTCCATTTACTTAGGCACCACAACCACCTCAAAAGATATTAAAAAGACTACTACGACACAAATCACCGAAGAAGATCAATCTATTCGACAACGTTCCAGCACTTCCCCTACGCGACATGATTCTAAGCCTTTGGATAGTTCCAAGCCTACGCTTGAAAGTCCTATCAAAGACTTGCCTATCAACCGTAATTCTGATATTTCAGTGAATAAACCTTCTATACCAAAAGGCAGCCCAACAAAAATGTCGGATCATAATACAACTCAGCAAATTCCACATCGTTCAAGCTCTAGTCCCGATAGAAAACCAAGTCACAAGACATCATCTAACTTGAAAATGACATCTACTACAGAAGAGATTATTATCACAAATGTTGGAGAAAGGCCAAGATCCACCGAATCACCAACACGACAAACTTCTCATGAACCATCAAAATTCCAACCTGGTCATCTGCAACAACCCGAAGAACAAAGACAACTTCGTACGCCTTCACCAACAAAGAAAACCACCAAAGTTACAGACATAAGTACAGACTTCATTACGTCTGAGAAAGAACAGGAAATTATTGATAGAGTCCAGAAATCAATCAGGACACTATCACCAGAGCGCAAAGAACGGTCACCTAGCCGAGAGAAGAGCCTTGATAAAACCACGACCAGCTTGCAAGATATTAATATAACTACACATACAGAAACAGATGATGAATCTGTATCTGAGGACTTCACGGAAATTACAGAGAACTGCACAGTCACAAAAAAATATACTCGTCCCGTAAAACCCCAAGATGAAAAACCAAAAGATCAGAAAGTGCCTACCAAACAAACAACTAGGACAGTTTCTCCTACTAAGAAACCGTCAGGACTCGCTACACCTTCTAAAGTAGACAAGAGCCCAGATTCTCCAACCAAAACTAGAAGTGTTTCACCCAAAAAGCCTATCTCTTCAACGGAAAGGCCGCAATCACCACAGATTTCAAAACCTAGTGGAATTAAGCCGAAAGAACAGATACCTTCGCATTTGACTAGGAAACCAACTCCTGCTACTCTAAATGTCAATAAAGTAGACAAGACAGTGGCTGAAGTAAAGAAGACCACTAATATAAGTTCTGTTACAAAACAAAATAGTTTCACTCGGACAACAAACGCAAGTAAAACTACAACAAAGTCTATTCCATCTCCAACAGGTCGTCCCAATGAGCCCGAGACAAGGCGAGTTCCAACTCCGAAAGGCATTAGAGAAAGCACAATTCCGACTAGGAAAGATAACGATACAAAGGTTACGCGCACTAGCAGCGACCTCACTATGAAGACAAAGAAAATATCACCTCAGAGGATGAAGTCAAAACCAGAAATACAAGTGAGTGATATGTCTACTAAATCAACATTAAAAACAACAAAATCTATTAAAGAACCACATTCAAAACTGCCAACCAAACCTAAATCAGCTACAACATTAAATACTTCTACTGATGAAGATGATATTATTGTTGATGTGGAGCAATCCAAGTCATCTCGAGAGAATTCACCAGATCGTATCTGTCCTACACCGGTCAACTTTACAGAGGATATAGGTACTCCGCGTTATCCTGACGAAGTAAGTGAGCCTGATGATGAATTCCGCAGGAGAACACATCACACAATCCATGAAGCTGAGTCTATTGTTGATGATATCGTTGAAATTTGTGAAGATGACGAACTGTTTGTAAGAAAAACCGACGTTGGCGTCTTCACAGAGGAAGACGAAAGTCTCCTTAGCGTCACAGACAAGGTCTCGAGGTTCACAAAAGGTGTTGATACAATAAACAAGTCAAAGGATACTACCACTATCTTCAAAGAGACTGAAAAAAGAGTTCATTCTGATTTTATTGACGATAAGTTGAAATCTGATGAGTGTTTGCTATCAGTGTCAGAGAAAGTTAACAAGTTTGCCAAAGGACCAAAGGATACAAGGGAGAGTAAGAGTCCATCACGCAGGGTCACAGATGAGTACGACAAAAATACTGTGTATCAAGATGACTACACCAAACTTAGTGTACATGACAAAGCACACTTGTTCGTAGAAACCGCAGAAAATGTTAAGATCCCGAAAGTTAAACCAACTCCTCAACGAGTAGAACGACCTGACTTGAGTAACGTTGATGACTCCTTAAAGAGCGATGACTGTTTGCTTAGCGTTTCTGACAAAGTCCATAAATTTGTTAAAACAGCTGAGCAATTCTTGACTGAATCGCATGAGGTCGAAGAAAAGGATAAAAAAATTAAGGAACAACATGAAAAGATTATGCGGAAAATTGTTACAGATGTTGATGATGACGAGCAAGATATAGAACGAACTATAATCACAGAAGATATGGATGTAACTGACAAAATAACACCAAATCCTCGTGATGAGAAAATTAAGCAAAAAGAAACTACATCATCACTTCCAAAAATTAAAGACTACAGCAACACAAACGTCAAGCCTAACGAAAGGACGCCTACAGTTAAAATAACTACTCTCCGCAGTAGTGAAGCTGTGAAGAAAGCTAAGGCTTTGTTTGAAAATATTGCAACAACAACTCAAAAACCAAAAGAAACTTCTCAAGTTAAAACTACTAAGTTGACCGATATCGGTGTATTAAAGAAATCTCCAAAAACTGACTCCACTACTGTTTTACATCCTGAGGCTGAGGATGAATCTCCTAATATAACTGATTTAGACATACATCCACAGAAGGATCGTCCAACTAGTGGTACCATGACTCGACCACGTTATCCTCAATCAGATGACGATAAACCACGCAGCAGTCCATCCCGTTTGAATGCCCAATCTCCAGACGTTCCAAGATCTAAATCTCCTATGCGTCAGACTATTGAAACCACAACCACTACCAAAACTGTCGTGTCTCGATATCCTGTCTCTCAGCGAGCTGAATCTCCGAGACAACGTCCAGAGACTGAAAAGCCCGATAAAATTCCCGGATATCTTCGACCCACGAAGACCAGTCAAATCAAAGAAGAGACGAAGGTGGTTGAGGATACCGAAGTCAGCAGTCGACGTGGAAGTGGAAAGTTTGGTATAGAGCTTCGAAGGACTAGTGTGGAAAGGTCGACAGCAAGCAGCGAGCGGCGACGCAGCGTCGAACACCCCTGCATAGAAGATATCTTCGACCTGGACCTCCTGGAACAAATGGTCAGTAAGCACAAGATTTGCATGCTCATTATCATTATTTATGTTTCCATTTTATATTTATACATTTACTGACTAATTCTGATTTTCAGTTGGAAAAGGTCGTTGGTTACGAGCAGAGGCGACGCATCAGATCCCAGATTCGCATTGCTAAGAAGAAGCAAGAATCTGAACACACTGATACTAACACTTATACTAAAACTACCAGACAGACTGTGACTACTCAAAAGCTTAGGTCTCCTGAGCGCCAATACACGAGATCACCAGAACGGAAGGCTCCAAAAGCTACACCACATAAAGACACTTCTCCTGACCGCCACGCTAAAACACCTCAGAGGACTATTCCGGAACGCACTCAGCCTAGGGAACAAGTGCAACCAGTACTTAACGGCCACTCAAAGGAACCAAACCATGCTCTGAGTGACCGGCGCCCGAGACCACATAGTCCAGAAAAACCCACTTCAAAGTCTGTACCAAAATCTAAGAGTCCGGTCCGTCAACCCAGCCCAGACAAAAAGTCTCGAACCCGTTCTCCTAGCAAAACTGCTGCACCGAAACCAAAGCCAAACCGTTTCAATGAGTATGCATCAGCTTACATGAAGAAAGTGGGTCTGAGTGAAGCGGACAAGATCAGATTTGCCGAAGCAAAATCAAAGAAGACAGCCGAAGAAAAGCAGCGTACAGTGAAACATACAGAACACAAGGTTGTGGAAGAATACTCGACTGCTAAGAGCTTCACAGACAAAGTTGCGTCTCACGATGTGGTTGAGGTGATCCAACTGAATGGAACCAATAAGAGGTCTCCGTCACCAGAGAAGCGACAGAGTCCTGAAAGGAAGGCATACAGTCCAGAGCGAATTTATGAACGTACGCCAAGTCCTTCACAAAAGCAAATAAAATCAGAACCGGTTAAAAAAGAAACGATCATAAAAACTGTCTACGAAATAGAGAAGAAAATACCTCAAAAGCAAGTCCAAGAAGAAAAGCCGTCGTGGGTGACGAACAGGAACCTCAAGAAAATTAGTTCGGAGACTAGAACATTCAGTAGTAAAAAAATCGAAGAGAAACCAAAATACAGAGCACCCAGTCCTTCTAAAGTGATCACGAAACCTATCGACGTGATCACGTCGAGCTACGGGCCGGGGCCGCTGGACGCGGACGGCAAACCGCTGTTTGGTATCAGGGCGTTGAGGAACGGCGCTTCTAACTACCAAGGTAAGCATTTTGATAACTACATTTTTATACTGTATATTATTTATAGCAAAAAATACATGACGCCACATACTTTTTAGGCTTCATGTTAATTTCCAGTCAGCTTGCTAGTTGACTATTGTAGTACAATAACACTGAGTACTGAGAATTACTGAACCGATGTATGTACATCTGAATCATAATAATTGTTCACAAAACAAATGTTGGCTCAGCTGAATGTGACGCTTGTGTCTCCGATATAGAGCATACAGTGACACTGCTGTTACCGTACAAGTGAGATTGTCTACTCCTCCGGCTTCGATTAACTTGTGTGAAATAAGTGTATTAACTTGTAGAATCAAGGTTAGACCCCCTTCATGCATCACACTATTTGCTATTTTATACATAGCAGCGTGAATAAACATATGTATTTTCTTTCATACAAAGTTGCTTTCGGTATCATTCACGTGCGTGCTTCGCTTATTTTGTATGAAAACTGTGTCACAAACTTACTGTAAACACAGATTAAAAACTGTACCTGACACCTCTCTGTGAAAGTAATTTAGTTGCAGTTGCAACTTCTCTCTCAACAACACAGTACAGCCCCTCATTCAGGATCAAATTGTTGCTTGATGAATAATATTGTAAACATCACAGTTGTATTATGTGTACGTCGACCCATATTATGTTTAATCTGATAACGTAATATGTAAGTACTTACTTCAAGCGAAAATATTTTGGATGAGCTTCATATTTACGCGATAATATTTATATAAGCGAAAATATTTTGGATGAGCTTCATATTTACAAATATTCATAAATGTTTGTTATATGACACAGTCAAGGGCACAGTGATCCGGCAGGAGTATCACTCCCGTAATGGAGGTGAGCCTGAGGGATCAGTCTCCGTGACGGCTTACTCCACGGAGCCCGAGGACCTGGAGCGTCTGCTGCAGGGTCAGGGGGAGCCTCCCTCTCGCATCCACGGGCTCGCTGCCATCACCACCACTAAGAAGTTCGGAGGAGACACCGGCACTACCTTGAAGGAAGCACACGGTGTAAGTGCCTGCTACATACTCAGAGCATACATACTGTAAACAGCGCCTGATAGTTTTTTTAGAGCAGTCACGCGGTTACTTTAATCGTATTATTGACGAACAATTCCTAAACTGATTACAGCTAATAATGTTATGTCATTGTTTTGTCAATTGTTAATATGGTATGAATCATATTATTCTACAGTATAAATTATTCTCAATAATTTGAATTCGTTTTTGAGCTGTTTTTAAAATAAAATATAATAAATAGTCCTTAGTTATTACAAGTACATATTCGTAATTCGTAGTCATGCGTAGTCATGTTTCCTTTTTCTTAAATTAAAATAATACACAATCTGAGGAATGCCGGCTATGTATTGTCTTCCGAGTATTCTGATAACAACAATAATAAATACAAACTGTGCACTTATCTAATCTTATGATCAAATATTTACTTTATCTCCTGTAGAGGGAAGATCGCGCCGCCATAGACCAATTCACTCACAGTGACCGCCGCGTCTCCGACACTAGGATCGAAGACATCACTGAGAGAAATACTAACAGACGTGAAGAAATCGTAGGAGAAACCAGACGCATTGAGAGCAGAAGAGAGGAGATCATAGGAGATAGGAGCAGACAGGCAAGAGAAGAAATTATAGACAGTTCTAAAGACAGGAGAGAGGATAAGTCGGACAGGATGCAACGACGAGTGGAGAAAGTAGAGAAGAAGGGAGATAGTACGCAAGAGAGGCGGGAGAGGATAGACAGGGCAGATGACAAGAAGACCGTCAGGCAGAGCTCCGTGAAGTCACTCACAGAAAAATACATCAAGAGTGCCTGTGAGTATACAATTATAACAGTATCTATAGACATCACTAGTATTTAATAATGAGACTACATTTGGTAACTGTTCGTTGATGGACTAGAAATGAATCACCGCAGAACAACCTTGCCCACAGTATTTTGTCAATAGAATAGATACAAACATAATAGATTTTAAATCACCAACAAAATGTTACTACCGTTTATATTAAGCTCGATGTTTTAAAATCAGAGTGCGATGCTGAGGTACAATTTATTTGTAGTTATTTTATAACGAAATCCTTCGAAGTGTCATATAATAATCATTAAATCATTCGTTATGTTATGAAATGCAGTAAAGGTGTAACTGCCTGAAGTATTCTGTAAACTGACATCAGCCGTGAGAGTTATAGAAGTTCTTATACAAGAGCAGTGAGGCAACAGTATCAATGCGCTTGCGTCGGTCTAATGAAGGGAAACGGAGCGTACCTCCAGTGTTTCAGACTGTTGCAACATTGCTTAAATTTCACGATATTTTTTTGTTGTAATATTGACAAAGTGTTGACAATAGAAAGTGAAACCCTATGGCAACACGACAGAACACGGACTATTGTTCACTCGGTACAAGGCGACGCGCGACGCCGACAACTTATTGTTACTTGTTGCTAGACGCACATTGTTAGCTTCGTAAAGTCGGACAGACGTTTCCAATAACTTATTGGAATTATGGGTTAAGCAGTTAGAAGTTTCCAGTATTCCTTATTATTGGCTATAGTAGAAGAAACCACTGAGTTAATATAAACGTATCATATTATATCTAGAGTAGGGATATCCTAAGGATCGGTCTTTAATTGATAAATTAATAGGCATAGCAAGCCATTAACGAATTTCCCATGTATAAATGTGTAGAACCACGACACATGTATGTACATACTAGGTACTGGTACAAATACGAAAAAGTGAATAGTTTTGTTAAGTTCCTACATACACAACATATTGCTCAGCGAGCGTCCTCGTGGGGCTCTTCTCTCGCAGAACTAGATGACGACATAACACTGTATAACTTGATGTTACCTTCGCAATATGGTCCTCATATTGTTGCGACTGCGCTCAATAAGTTTCAGTAGATAACTAACGAAAGTCATTTACTTATTTGTTCCGATGTATGATACTAAGTTACAATGTAGTCACTAGGAGCTAGCGACAACATTGGGTCATGTTGTTCAACAAGTACATTACACACAAATGTCCCAACAAAAGTCTTTATGGAAATTAATCTATAGTTTCGTGATATCGCATAATAATAACGTAACGTTAACGCACGCGAGCGCGTTAGCGTGCGTCGGTTTACGTAATAACTTTCATACTTTCATATTGCACTAGCTGCGTTTACGTTTTCAGTCGCTAACTGACTCTCGGACTAAGCCGAGGTCCCGTGCAGCCGGTACTTGCCGCAGTGTTTACATGTGCTGTTGACAATATCTTTGTATAATGGATACTAGCAAGGATTGTAGTTACAATTTCAAACTGTTACTTAGTATTTACCAGAGACTCGGTGAGTCACACACACGTGTGTTTACTTGTTTGTTTTTTGTACACTCATAATAATATACAGGTAGGTACTTTTATTTTTAAAAGCGGTTAAACGGTTCGGTGAATAAACAAAAAGACGTTTATTACGATAGGATGGTATTAAATCTTTGTTTACCTATAAACTTACATCTGACACTTAAGTTTTACTTAACAATCTTCAAGTTACAATATTAACAGCTTAGATAACACAAACCTTAACTACATACTTCATGGGCTAGATACTCAATTAATTATATTTTACTTAATAAAATGAAGTTACAACATTAACTTCTTATCTAAAACAAATCCTAACTTAATTACACACCGGCAAAGTTATCTAAGTAGGTTGCTGACTAGTCAAATATTTCGTAACATTTATCAGGCGAGGAGGCTGTACATGTATGTGCTGTGTCTTATCTCTATGTAAAGCTGAGGACTTTATTTGTTTGAATTTGAACTCATTATTCTTCAAAAGTACAGGGACGAATTGAATATTTATTTTTTTGTGTTGAATAGTCCATTTATCGAGGAAGGTTTAAGCTATTAATCATCACGCTACACTTAATAGGAGGCGAGCAGTGAGTGAAAATGCGCGGGAGTAGGTACTCAGCAAGTATCTTGGGTGATTACTCAGAGTTCCCATGTTGTGACCGCGGAGGTCAACTACCTATTTAAATGTCATTAGTGTTGCGACCCGTCCCGCGGTGTGTTGCGGTGTTTGTGTGTTTGTTCACATCACTAGCGGAAGTGATCACATGCTTGGGTATAATTTGTACACAGGTTTATGCTGTATAAACCTTTTGTGCTTCACCTCTTTACTGTTATTTTATATTTGTTGTGTTGCTGTTGACTCATCGGCTTACTATTGAGATTTTTTTGGACAAGAGATTAATTCTGCGAATTTTGGTAGGACAGTTGTTGGGTTACTTAGGAATTCTATCAGGTATTTGGCTAGTTTATGTATTTATACTTTTTAGACATAATAAGTAGGTTAATCTACTGTGCAAAAATATTTACAACTTAAAATTAACTACAACTAAACTATGAAATAAAAAGAAAGTAAAAAAAAGAAAACAACAAAAATTATAGGTACCATTAATTATAAATTATTATATTTTAGTTGTAGTTAATTTTAAGTTGTAAATATTTATGTAGTTTTATAAATTATGTTATTTACTTAGATGATAATGAATAAATCACTGTGCAAAATAGTTGTTAAGAAAAATAGCATATTACCATGGAGTCTAGGTATGGAACCAATGCCCAATGATAAAATTCATGGTGAAGATATAATAGATATGGTGTACAATAAACTGTGGACGTTTATAACTAGAATATACTACAATATTGCAATATTCCCATAGATGAGAGCAGCAAGGCAGAACGCACCACCTACCCGAAGGCGGGCCTGATTCTGCGCACTTCCACCATGAAGGACAGCGTCTCCAGCGACTCCTCAGCACACGCTGGTCAGTCTACTACTTGTTGCTAGTCGTACAACTTATTTCTGTGTCGTGGGTGGTCTGCTTTTACAAATGTAATATACTAACTTTATTTATACCTACTATCGACGGATCACACGAAGAATTGAAGTTGGAATCGAACCCGCAACAGATTGCACAGCCACTGCACCAACCATGCACTCCACAGCCTACCAATAGTGACCGCCTTATTATTTTAAAATGTTTTCAAATGGTATTACAGCAATGGACAGCTTCAATCAATTTCTTTAAGTTTAGAAATGAGTTTGAACATGAGCGATCAATTTTAAGCAGCTTAAGTACCTGTAATATCTATACATTTAATTATATTATAGCTACATAAGTCTGTTAGGTAAGTGTAACATACACAGGTAATACATAAGTATGTGCTTGTAATGTTGGCCTGAAATACCCGCTCTACTTACATCTTATTATTTGGCAAGAAGTTATCGTTATAAAAACTATAGAACTTGTATAATGCAAGTGTTTCAAGGACAGTACATTTCAATTTTATGTCAGAACTAATCTAATTCTATTCAACAGTTTATAGTACTTGTGTTCGTCACAGCGCGTTATAGATAGCAAAACAAGTATATTAGATTAGTTTTTTAAAAGCAACGTTGTTAAAAAAACAACTATCAATTTTAGCCATTAGGTAGGTACTGTAACAAACATCTAAGGTAATTAATATCTTGGTACATAAGTAACGCTACAATCAAGAATCTTATCAAAGTCCTAAAACCAAAATAGTCGTGCGTTAACCATAGTTCAGGTCACAAAACGCATTTTTGTATCCGTAACCAAATTATGCCTTTGCACAGGTCTGACCCGCACAGACAGCGAGCACAGCCTGGGGTCCGTGGAGGACACGGTGGTGACGACGTCGGAGCGGGTGGACGGCGGGGTCCGGACGGTCACCACCACAACTCGCACCCATGGCTCCACCACACACCACTCCCGGCCTGAGAAGTCCTTCCTCGACAGCAACACCAAGGTCACAGGAGTACAGGACATACTCACCAGGATGAAGAACGCTGATATAGGTTCGTTTGTGATTTACACAATGTCTATCTGTTTATTGCAGCTTACTATATTACGCTATTGTCCACTGGATAGAACAGCATAATTAGGTCAATCTTAACTACAGAATAAATAAATGAACTGAAATCTGCGCCTTGTACCGAAAACTATCGTAATCTAATTTTTCCGCAATCACGAATTTTGTCTTAGAAAATGACCATTTTTTTATACTTTCGTCAATGTTTTGAGCATTCCATTTGTAGTATTTCGTAGCAGCTTTCATTTAGGAAAAGTTAATTTTCTATTTCATTACAAGCCCTTCTTGGCAGCTTGGCTGGTGGAAAGTCAATAAAACCCCACACAGGCTGCCAACAGCTAAGTAACATCTGTCACTCCCCGTAGTTATACAACACTCCGATGATATTGTCATTACTCATGTTTGGCAGACACACTCACTTCCTATACGCCTACCTAATCATTAAAGTGTTTGTTTGTATGTATATTTGAGTGAGATCACTTCGACATCGTAGATCTGTAACAGACTGGAACTCGACTAATAAAGTTGAGAACATAATAAGAAGAGAGATTTATAAACAAGTTAAAAATAATGCGCCATTCTTTGATTGCAATTAGTTTTTATATCTCTTTTTTATGGGATAAGCCGGTAGGCAATCGGCATCGCCAATGGACGCCTGGAACACCAGAGGCGTTACAAGTGCGTTACTGGCCTTTTGGAATTAGGAATTGAGGATTGTTGGGTATTCGGGGATTGGGGAAAGGGAGAGGGGGGGGGGGGGTTATTGGGCATCCGGTAACCTCACCCACACGACGAAACACAACACAACGTTGTTTCACGTCGGTCTTCTGTGAGGCCGTGGTATCACTCCGGTCGAGCCGGCCCATTCATGCCGAAGCATGACTCTCCCACACTTAGCTCGCTATAAGATAGTCTTTAATAGAGATCTTCAGGTTGGATATCAAACATAAGTATGACCCTTGGTTAAGGTAACGCAACAGTCGAAATAATAAAATGGAAATTGTACACATACATACTTAAGTGTGCGACTCCGCCAAGGCATCAAATATGCGGTCAAATGTGTCCTGTTATGAATGTTTGATTAGTCGCATGTTACTGATCTCATAACGTATGCTGTCACCAGTCGTCACCCACCACATAGCACTGATGTTGGTCAGTGGAACAAACAGACAAACCGTGGAGTTTAACAGTAGCGCGTCACATGCTCCACTGCTCGCCTCGATAAGATGATGTGGAATGAGATATGTACTGGAAAAAATGTATCAGAGCTCACGTTACAATAAAATACTCGTACAGTTGTTGCTAAGTGCTATTTGTGGTTTATTCAACACTAATCCGTATCTACATGGTATTTGCTTGTTGATTAGGTAATGAAATAAAGAAATAATTCCAGTAAGCTGTAATCTATATCTATTTGTAAAAATAATTAGGTTGTAAAGTTTGTGTCCCATTTGCGGTCATTGCCCCGCTTTTACGTAAGGAAATATCAAGAAAATACCACTTGTAGGAGAAATCTTCTTACATTTATTTACTTCCCTTACTAAAGAGTCCCCCCTATCCCCAGTGATCCAGGAGGGTGACACGACGGAGGATACGGAGGCGCGCGCCCTGCTGAACAAGTTCCTCGGCGCCACCGTGCTGATGGCTGGCATGCAGAACTACGTCACGGAGAAACCCACCGGCAAGGTCGTCGTCAAACAGGTATGTCACACACGCTACACCGATGCTGTCAGCAGATACTAATCATTAATTTTGACGTGATTAAATGTGTAAAACCGTTTTGGCGAAAGGGGCTTTTGAAATTATATCGACGAATTAGAAATTATTATAATGAAAAGAAGGTCCGTGCTCAAGTTCATATTTTTCATTGTCGTCGTCGTGAAAAATCTTAGTTTAATTTATTTTACGATGTTCGAAAGCGAAAAATATAAAAATCAATTGGATATTATATATATTTAGCGAAAACTACTTAGGTACTTACTAAGTAACAGGTAGGTGTAAATCGACCATACATACAGAATAGACATATTTATAGAAATTTTCGCGGTAGCACACTAAATGATAAATAACACGTAGACAGACACAGTGTCCTAAAATGTAGGAACCGTATGACTTGTATTAAAACAGTTACATATTTACAATCGTATGCATTTGTTTATAATCATTACGGAAAGCCATAGATACCATTGTAGACGCCAAGAAGTCAAGCTAAAGCTCTTTAAAATGTGTAATAGATTTCCAACTTAATTGTTTTGTAATAAAGTCCCCAATGTTTTGATTTTAACTTACCGAGTTATAGCGTCACCCGGGAGTGTCGTGCTGTTCCTATTCTTATCATGTAACCGGGTAACAGCCGGCAGCCGGGCAGGTGTTAATCCGATACAATATTACACTGAATACACCGCTGCACTGCTAATATATACTTCAAATAAATACAGTACAGAAGTCCCACTTTGTACACCCCTTGAAATATCAAGATGTGCAAGGCACGGGAGTGATATACCTATGTATGTAGAAAATTTCGTAAGTTTTAATGTCAAAATAATTAGTAGGTATGCAGTTTTTCAGTAGTTTTAACCTAAGCCCGGTTATTGACAATGGATTCTTTACCGTATTGCACCAAATTATTGTTAAACTATTAAAATTAAAAACGCTACGTGTACATAAACGACTTCATATAACCAACATCATATAAAAGACTTAAGTAAAATATATAATAATGTAAACTTTCTAGTGCGAGTGGGTACTGCGGCACAACTGCAGTATCGTGTGCAGTGCGGTTGGCACGAGACGCGCATGAATCACGCGCATGTATGCGCCCGCGCAGATTTGATTTATTTATTTATTTCAAACGCGCATTAATGGCGAACTAATGATGGCTTTTTAATGCAATGTAACGGCTTGTGATTGGCAGCTGTAGATCTGTGGGGCTGAGTAAAGAGTACGCACTGTAATTAACAATATGGATGTGCAAAAAGTAAAATGACTGTTTTCGCATGTTTCCAATAATTTGGTGTGAGCAAAAATAATTACACGGTAATAAACCCATAAATTGCTTACCTATTCGAAATTAATTACAAATAATTAAATAAACATTAAAGGTTGCATTTAGCAAGACTATCGTAAAGGGGCTTGATGTTTGTCAACATGTGTGACAGGCGACAGGTTACGCGATAATTATGTTGTTGGTGAATTCTGACCACTTCAATAAAATTGACTACAATATCGTATTATTTCGTAGCACAACTACGAAACGAAAATAATTTTCAAAACGAGTAAACCGAACGATACTTGAATACGACTCCCGCTCAATATTTATCAGTATTTTGAAATTCACAAAAATCACATCGAGACTGGAAACATTTCACACTGTACAATCGACGTATTTTGCAAATCTGTGTACTCCATCGTGAAATAGAAAGCGTGATAATTGTTATGTAGTTATAATTAATTACGAGCAGTAGGTACTTTATATTCAATCATCGTATATTGACAAATAAATAAACACAAGACAAAGTGTTTACCGTCTACGGCGTAGCAGTTTGCTACGAAACATTGATCAAATTATTGTCAGCCCTAGAATCGAACTAAAATTACTTTCTATCAAAACTCCCTATAGGGGCAATGACAAAGAAGGATGTCGAAGCATGTGGATGATAAATAAGGGTGTGATGTATGTTGTACATCTGCGCAACTCACGCGCAGAGCGCACGCGTGGTGTGCGCACGCGCTGCCGTTTGTTTATCGTAACTCCGTGTACCTGTTATGTGGGGCAATGTTAGTGTAATGTAATAAGTGCTACTTCACACTCTGACCAGACGCCCTGTACATGTACATCGGTACATATACCGCCGTCAGTGACGTATACCAATACTGAAACTTTTCCTGGAATATTCTCGGAAAACTATTAATAAGGCAAATGAGTTTTTGTTAAGATAATAGATCTTTAGTATGTTATTACTGTATATGAAGTCTAATTTGAGATTAAAAATTAGAAAACGTAACCCTAGGTTTCACAATGATTGCTAGTCATAACGTAGATCTTTGTTTGCCTCACTGAAATATTACTACTTACGTATGTCCGGAGTAAATAAACACGTTAATGCTAGAAAATTTTGTGAATAAGATTTATATGATACAAATAAGTTTTATTGAAAAATGAATGAATATGTGTAATAAATACTCGGTCTCAATCTCAATATTTTAGTAAAGCGATTTTTACGAAAATGTTTAAACAATTTATCATTTTCTCTTCTGAGTATCCTCCTGGAGCTCATTGAGTGGCAGACTGTGTACAAGTAACAATTTGTGATAGTTAAAGCTTTCCCACGCTGACATAATATAATACAAGCCCACGTGTGGTCCAAATATTGTGGAAGTATTAGCCCAGTACCCCACATACACATTACTACGAACCGCACCGCGCGCCGTTCTAGTAAACAAAAGCTGCCGAAGCAGATGCGCAAGCGCCGCCTTATTGCCGTTTTAAGCCACGCGTTCTAGCGCGGAAAGCGATGAAAATCCTATGCAAAAATAACACGCCCGGCCCGACATTTCACCACCAAACACTACTTAACGCCTTAACTCACATCGCGTTTCATGGAAAAAATAACTTTAAGCACTTCTGGATAACGTTATGTGGGGGTGAAAATAGCGTGTGGTGTTCACCTCACTATATTTGGCTCGCTGACGTCACAGCGGGCCGCGCGCGCAGTCCGTCCCCGGCTCCCGCGCACGCCACGCACGCGCAGCCGACATGCCATGCAAACTATCAAATAAACCATAATATTATGGTCTAAGAACTAGCGAGTAGTGAAGTAGTACCTGCCGCGTGTAACTACACCGGAGTAGACCCTACACAGTGACATTGTCAATATATTCAGGATTTGCAACAATTTTCAGCTCTGCAGTTTGTGGTGAGTTCACATTTTACTTGTATGAACAATTATGAAAAATGTAAATCCTAAATTCACATTAGGATTTATTTTGTTTTTGCATGATGTTTTAATTTTCTGGTGAATGTCGCGTGGAGTTCCTACTTTTCAGTCGGTTGTTAAAATCCGTCGTTGACGTCACGCGAGCTCTCTCTCGGACTTTGAACTTTAAAACTGAAATAACTAATAAATATTTTTAATTAGAATCGCTATAAATAATACGACTATGAACTAATAAATGTTAATTTAACAAACTATTGCCAATTGTTAGGTTTGGCGGCATTTACTCACTTTTCCAAGATGCCATAATTTCGAGTAGATCTTTCATATTACCCTAGATCTCACCGAGTAATTTGTGAGACTTCAATGGGTACAGATTTGTTAAAAAAGTAAAAGCCTCTATAAAATCTCCTGTAACGTAAACAAAACTAAACTATTTCATGCGCTGGTCACTAGTTCGTCGCCCACAAACATACAAACACATTGAAACAATCACAATCAGTTTCCTGAAAGTGAATTACATTACATACACATTATCTATCTCCTATGAACCCATCGTAAGCTCTATGACCTAGACACGCTACACACGGTCAGTTAGCCTGTCAAACAGAACATCTGTCAAGCGGTTGTCAGTCGGAGGTCGGGTTGCGACACACAGCCGCTAGAAATAACGAACAACTATGAGTTTGTAGCATGTTGAGTAACAGTCAAGGGCAAGCTTTTTTCGTGTTCCAATCATCTTGAAATAATAATAAAAGCTCTCGCAGTGAAAGATATTTCCTCCGAGAATACTTCGAGAGTATTTTCAAGGAGATTACAATACGAGAAGCGATAAAATACAAACATAAACTCACGTCTTTGTCCCATGGAAGTCGACAGAAACTACAGAGAGGCGCATACTACGATCCAAGCAGACTTCTTTAACTTCCATCACATTCGTATATTCGGTCTCACAAACAATGTACAATTACAAATCGTTTCCAAAATCTATTCGTATCTACAGACTCGTATGAACTATTTCATCAAAAGCTCAGATTATTTTCAAGTACCTGCCTAGCTGAAAACTGAGTACTGTCATAACAAGCATCCCTCCAAGCGTCTCAATAACTTAGCGACGTGGTGGTAGGCAGGTACATAGCAAGTAACTATAATAAAGTAATCATTATATATTTTCTCTTCAATTACAGTTAGAGTGTAGTAACGAGCTGTGTAGTCCGTAAGACAGCGCTCACCGCACAGCTATTACCCGCGCCGCGGCTCGCGAACTGCTTGCAGCAAATGATATACTGGCTATTTGTTTAACTATGCTGTCTCAGTTTTACTGTAACTAAAGCACTGCACTTAAGCTAAAGATGTACTGTTGCGATAAAATGTTGATATTATCAAGCATCTTCCAAATTCAAACTAAGTTTAAACGTACTCATGATAAAGCTCAAATTCACTATATATAACAAATCGTGTTATGTAAATGTACTGAGAGATAATAATTATACATTGAGAGTGCACAGATTAATTATATAAAGTATCTTTCAAAGTTTCTCAGACTCGTAAACTTCAAATAATGAAATAGGTAGAGGTTGGTCTGTACGGCGTACCGACCCTAGTTCCCTCCGGAGACCAGCGATTATGGAAAATTACATTGTTTTCACAATATTATTATGGTGTTATTATCTTTCTCCGCTTACTCTCGTCTCAAGTAAATAGCCGATGTTTATCTAGCCATGCCGGCGACTCCTTATTAACTTACTGTCGGGACTTCACGTGAGA